AGGTTCTGGCGAGCTAAGAAAATGTTTGTCTCCCTGAGCTCGGCCTTCATAATTCCATTCCATCACAACAGGCAATGCCAACCTAATACAAAAAGTAGCACTTTATCTTCCTGGGTTCAAAAACCACAGGGATGGTGACTGTAACTATGAAATAAACAAATATCTGCTACTTGGGAAAAAGCCTATGACATATCTAGACAATATCACACCACCAACAAAAATATATATTGTTAAGGCCATGGTTTGCTCAATGGTAACATATGGCTGTAAAGGTTGGATCATGAGAAAGCTTGAACAAGTAAAAATTTATTCTCTTGCACTGTGATTCTAGAGGAAAATAGATTGTTCCTAGAACCACTAATAATGATGCTAAACATTACATATCTAGATACATAATGTGATGACCACTGAAAAAGACCCTATTCCTTGTAAAAATTAAAGGCAATTGAAAAAAAGGCCAAGAGAAGACATGATATCTGGATGCTATCACTGATGACACATGAGCTTACAGAAACTCAAGGAAGCAGCTACTGAAAGTCAATCCTGGCACTGATCTCCATCAGATCATAAGGAGTCAGAAGTGACTGAATAACTGAACAGCCACGTGCAACCTATGGCCTGTACGCAGGTCCCAGATTCCAATTATGCACTCCCCACAAATCTGCCAATATTCAGTGACAAAAATAGCTGTGTGACCCTCACTGAAAAACAAGATAACACACACAAAAAAGGGTTGTAATTGGATGTACTAACTTTCTTCAAGGCAAACTGTTGCTATGTCCACCTCAAAAAAGTCCTGGCTCCTTCCACTGAAATGTCACCCCTGCTCAATGACATTGCCATGTCACCAGACAACTCCTCTACAGCCCCCAGGCTGAAAATTATTTTTTGGAAACTGTACCCCTCAGCTGGAAAAGGTTGGCCATCCCTGCCTTAGTCCCTGGGTTGATCCTGCCCTCTCGAGGTCAGCATTTCCCGGATAGATGGACTTTAAGAGGATTCCTGCTCTAGTTAAATTGTTCTTAAGCAACAGAAGACTAATGCCTGAATAGTGTACAATAAGGGTGGACAATCCTTCTGTGACTAGGGAAGGGGCACTTACTTTTCTGGGAAGGCAAAGATGCAAAACAAGCAGAGATGTGTCCTACAAGGTTCCCCCCCCCCCAACATTTGGGATAGTTAGGTTTTCAAATCAAGTTAAGACTATTTTAAGACCAGAATCTGAAATCATTTTCTGGAATGGAGGATCTAAGTCAGTGTTGCCCAACATTGTTCTCTTCAAGGTGACTTATAGCATTGTCCTCTTAAAGTAGAAGATCTTTGGCAAGGGAAAAAGTGCTGGATGGCATCTCTTTAATATTCCCGTGAAGAGAAGGATGTACCAGAGACAATCTAAATAGCATATAATTTAATGGAGGTCATGTTTCATTCTGATGTGAATTCCAAGTAGGGCAATATATGTAGGTGGCAATTACTGTAATGGTTTTCTGTTGGAAAGTACAACATTGTGACCACAGTCTCATAATTATGACTGTTCTTAAAACAGCACATGACATTAAACCATGACAAATCTGTGCACTTCTCTGAATTCATGGCTTTGTTTTCTGTCCTGGTATTTCAAAATGGAAACAATAAATCTATTTTTTTCCTCTCATTTTCAAAATAATTATGCACTGCATTGTTGATGAAGTAATATAAAAGGCATATACTCTTGTTTAAAACCTAATGTCCTTCTTCCTTAATACTTAGGCATTAGAATCAATGCATTAAAATAATAAATCATGAGATTTAAAGTAAAATGTGTGTGAGAGAAAGTCAGAGAGAGAGAGAGAGAGAGAGAGAGAGAGAGAGAGAGAGAGAGAGATACTGGAAAAATAACTGCTGTCCTAATGGCCAGTAAGCAATACTCCTCTTCCCTACATCCCTGTCAGCACAATCCAATCTGTCAAGTGTGAAGGATAAGGAACTCTCAATTACTTTTTATTATGCAGTGGGGGATGACTATAGGTGAATGGATCAGTCACATGCTTTGAAACTACAGGGTTCTGGGTTCAATCCTTGGCTCCTCTGGATAAGAGAGCCATATGACATGGAAGGTCTCTTCCTGAGGCTCTAAGGATGATACCCATTAGAATACTGACTAGATCAATTATTGTCTGGAACACAACATGTTCCAGACAATAATTCCCATAATCTCTATCCATCAGTCATACTAGCTGGGGAATTCAGGAGTTGTAATTCAACATAACGGAAATGTCCTGGTTAGATAAGATTGGACTAAATGGAAAATACGATAGATATAAGAGAGCAATCAGGTTGTTCACTTACATTGTTTTTCAACAAATGCAATCCTTTCTAGTTTTATATGCACTCTCTCTCTCTCTGTCTCTCTCTCACACACACAACATATACAGAGAAATAATCAAGTTAAAAATACACCCCCCAAAAAAATCCTATCCCCCCCCAAAAAAGACAGATAAAAAAGAAGACCATCAGCTAATTCCTTCAAAACCCAAAGATTCACTTCAACCAGTGCTGGAAAGTTACACCCATTCAAAATAAAGTGGCATTTTCTGATCATATTTCTATCATATTTGAATTTCAGTCCTGCCTCTTCATCCTGTTCTTGACAATTCCCTAGTGGAACACATAGTGTTTTTTGTTTGTCTATATTTTTGGTTTTGTTTGTTTGTTTGTTTGAGAGGACTAGATCAAAACTGGAGTTGAGTAGCACCACCTTTTCCTGGCTATCTGTTAGCATTGTGCCATCTTCCCTGAGCAGCTGGTATATTGATTCCTTGGTTTTCCACTGTTTTAGTATTGTCTTGCACAGGACTACCTATCCCTTCTGAGCTCCTCCTGTCATAGGATCCCATTTATCTCTGTCCTGAGTTTACTAAATTTTTTTTTTTAAGTCTAAGATACGTGTTTGATTACATTGTTTTTTCCCCCTTAAAATCAAGAACTCCAGCACTACATGGTCTTGTTCCCAATTTTTTGGCTATTCCCAATTCCTCAACTAAGTCTCAATTAATGTCAAGTCAAGGATAGCTGATCCTCTTGGGTCTTCCTCCAGTCTCTAAAAGAGAAGGTTGTCAGCAAGACAAGAACCATGCATGGCGGAATTTGTCTCCCAACAGATGTCAGAGTAATTAAAGTGTTCCATCATTACACTATCATGCCTCTTTGAAAAATCTGCTATTTTGTTTTGGGAAAGTGTCATCAGTATCTTCTCCTTGGTTGGCTGGACAATTGTAGAAACCAACAAATGTCTTACTTTTATTTCTTCCTCCATTTACTTGAACCCAGATGTTGTTTAAAGCATTGCCAAGTTTATTCATTTTAGCACGAATGAATACTTGCAGCATACAGTATAACTCTTCCTTTCTATTGTTTCTGTTATTTTTTAACAAATTCTATCCTATATTCCAGTCATAAGGTGGAAAGCTATTAAACCCATTAAATCATATAAATAAAATCAAAAGCATTAGTGTACAGACAATGACTGCTGTGAACTTTACGAGCTAATACCCTTTCTAAATTATCACTTTGTGATTTAAGAGTCCCCAATTCAGCAACACTCCTACTTTCTTGGGAGCTCAAATGTTTGTATGAGGTCCTTACTTCAAAGTTTTTATTTCTATTCCCTTCACTAGATTCAGTTTAAAGCTTTCCTAATCAATCATACCATGCTTTAGCCAAGTACATTTTTAGAAGACCTTGTAAGGTACAAATTATCTCATGCCATCAATCCATCATCTAGATAACTCAGACTATGATCTCAGAAATCAAATCTTTTCCCATGGACACCATTTGCATAAATAGACTTGCAGAATTCTTCATTCCCTTTCTAGTCTTCTTCTATGGAAGAATAACACATGAACCTAAGTTTCTGAGATTTTCAAAGGCTTCCAAGCCCAATACATTACAGCTGTTATTTGCAGTACCACTGACCACTTAGAAGGAAAAGATACCTGTCAACTGACTTGGTAATCTTGGAAGCACTATTGTATCCCTGAGTTTTTCTTGTGACAGGCTGCACAAGCCAACAGAACCACTCGGCATATGTTTGTTTCAATTTCTCATATTGAATTACAAACTATCATGCTTTCTTACAGAACGCTGTTTCACCCTCTCTGCATTCTATCTCCATTCTGTAGTATCTATTTTTCTTTCCCTAAAGGCTCAGAATCTGGTTGAGAAAGGTTTCTGAGTTACATGGGGCAGAATATCATTTATATCTCTTGCTTCCAGTTGTTATGTTCATCTACTTCCCTTGCTTCTCTGTTTGGCTATCTTTCTTAAGGAGCTTTGCTTCTAATATCTGTTTCTATTGTGCAGCCTCCTTTCCTTCCTTTTTCAGTAGGTAAAGCATGGCCATTCAATTCTCCAATCCTTTGACCTGTCCCTCAAAGACTGCTATGAGTTTGCATTTGCTGCAATTATATACTAGGAGGAAAAATAGCAGACTCCTGTCCATTCATTTTTATTCTTGTTTCTGAAGACATAATCTATAGAAGGGCTTTTATTTATTCGTGTTCCTTTCTCCGGCAAACTCCTGTTAGCTGTTTCTGTTCGCTCATTCAGTAGCCTTCCTCCTGGAACCAGACTGCCCTATATTTCTCTTACATTCTCTGTTTACTCAGCAGGAAGCAATCACCCAATCATCTACAATGGGTAATCAACAGCTATTCAGAAGATAAGCTTTTCACTCCTCATTGCTCAGCACAAACCCCTCAGAATCTACGGCTTCTTTGATCAGTCTCCTTTCTTCTTTCTGTTGAATTCTCTGAGAGCAAACTCCTGCTAGCTCTCCCTATTATCTCACCAACACTCATCTTTATACCTACTACTTGCATTCAGTTTGGTTGTCATACCTATTTATATCCACGCATAATGACATGCAATTTCATATAGTAATTATAGTTGCAATATTGAGCATAACTTTGTGCTATCTATTTCAGCTCTTTGCTGCAGAGCTGACGTGCAAAGGTATGAGAAAATAGGAATGTAAATAATCTTGAGGATAAAATACTTGATGATTTTTAAGCTTCAGACACAGCAAAGGACATATGCAAGCAGTGATACTATTAAGGATTAAGTTGATTGAGATAAACAGTTAGCAAGGTACAGATGTTTACAATGGAGAGTTTCACAGAGAAGCAGTAAAACTAAACAACATATAGCATGTTCAAAGAAAACTGCAAAACTGGGAAAATCAAGAGGATTTAAGCTTTTCACCCTGCACTGTAATCCCAGTGAACTTCTGGGATGTTCCAGTATGTTATTTGTCTCAGGAAGATTAGGCCTCAAGTTCAGTTTCCCATCCATGGCAGAATAGGGCAGAGCAAATAATTCATTCATGTACAGAGCAATATACAGGAACGTGGTTATTTTCCCAAGAGTGCTAATGGGAAACCTAGGGATCTTATAATTACTTTGCTCAAACTACTGGCTTAACTCTATTTCCTTGCCTCGCCATACCTTCTACTCCCCTCTCCTTCTCTGATCTCCAAATTGAGACCTGTCCTTCACTTTCTCTTTTTAGGGTTCACTGGCCTTCTTCCCATCTGTCAGCTATGAAGGTGACACTCCCGTCCAATGTTTCAGACCCCTCTGATTTGGGGCTATGTTCACAGTAAGGAAGACATTTTCAACAACAATGCTCTGAAATGCTAGAAGACTCCTTAGGAACACAGCTATGACCAGATCATTTTTTCTGCTCTACCTGTGTGTCCATCTTAATTGTCTTTCCATTCCAAAGGCAGGATAGAAAACAACTGCTTATCAACAAGGAAGCTTCTGTGGGTTGTTTGGGAATAGATCCTTAGAGGAGGTATATCTCTGGCTGCTGGAATTATTTCATGTTATGAAGTCTGATGTTTTGTTGTCAAAACCTCAGTTGCATTATTATTCCTATTATGTGCCTTCAAGTCAATCTTGATTCCCTGCAGGTGACTGCCTGGGAAAGTCAGTTTTCTTGCCAAGATTTTCAGCAGTTGTTTGTCATTGCCATTTTCCTAGGGCTGAGAGAGAGTGACTGGCCAAACTGGCTTTGTAGCTAAGGCAGGACCAGAATTCAGTCTCCTGGTTTCTAACCTGATGTCTTAATCACTACACCAAATGGGCTCTCTCTCTCTCTCTTTCTCTGTCTGCTGTGGTTTTAGTCCTGTTGTTTCCAACAGCTACTTTGAAATAACCATGTTTATTTATTTATTTATTTAGTGGACTTGTCCCTGCCTATCTCCCCACAATGGGGGACTCTGGGCGGTTTATATCAAATTAAAATCATAAATACATAATTAAAAGTTATAAAAAGAGAACCACAGAGAAAGAAAAAAGATTAAAAGATCCAAGAGCCAATAGAGGCCACACCAGGCTGCTAAGGGGCTAGCCAACCCCATTTCTGACATCCTCC